CCCTGGAGGTGTTTTAAGAGACGAGTGGATGTTGCATTGGGGGAATCGTTTAGTGGGTTGACAGGGCTGGGACAAAGGCTGGACTCGATGGTCTTCTAGGTCTCTTCCAGCTGAAACTATTCTATGATTCTATGATTCTGTCAAATGACTGTACCTAGAAGAAAGCCAGGAAGGATGCATTTTAGAATTGTCTATGAGGCTAAACTTCTGTAGATCTAAGAGAAAATCAGTCAAGGAAAATAAAAAAAAAAAATCAGTGTAAGGGAAAAATGAATTTATAATCTTTGTGATGCTAGCTTTGAAATGCTAGTGAAGAGTTAATTCATGGACTTGAAAAATAAAATGAAGTGGTTAAAGGTTAAAGGTTAAAGTCTCCAGTTATACTCTGAGGTAATTGGCCAAAATGGGTGGTTTACGTTTCTGAGGAGTCCTGTGTCTGTATGCCTTCCAGGGAAAATATACTAGATGAAGAATCATAGAATCATAGAATGGCCTAAGCTGGAAGGGACCTTAGAGATCATTTTAATCCAGCCTCCCTGTCGCCAGGGATGCCACCTCTCGACTAGATCAGGGACTGAACAGGAAGAAGTCTTAAACTTCTCAGCAGCTGAATGACTTCCTGATTTTTTTTGTGTGTGCTAAAGTCGAGTTTTAATCTGCACATAAAGAGGCAGCATGTACTATCCTCTATTAAAAAGAAGCTTCTAGTAAGTAATAAGTTTCTTGTTATACAAGGAACAACAACCCTGCTATAAATAATTATTTTTAAATAATCTTTGTTGGAAGGATGAGACCATACATAGATACCGCTACAGGCCAGCCTGGTGGTGTTCTGTCTCAGCATAACACAATAAAATTCCTTCATTTGCTGATGCTTCCTGAACCTGATGTAAAGCCTCTGGTGACCAAGAGACTAAGATTTTGATGCTGAAAAAACCTTTGAGTTGAGTTTTTAGGGCTATAAATGGTTGATCTGTGGATGTCTGGTACAATACTATATATACATATATATATATATATGTATTAGCATACATTTGAGATGCTAAAAATCCAAACAATGAAGTTGCTCTGAAAATTCCTACAACAAAAACCATACCATCTCTGCCTTGGGATTTGACTGCATGTAAAGAAAAAAAAGAAAAAAAGGTTTTTATTGTTATATTCCTTTTGTTTATTGTAAAATGCTGAACTGTATTGTCCTCTAGTCTCTTTACAAAGCCAGAGAGAGTGAAATTGAAACTGAACAACACTTTCAAGCCCTTGCCGAGAGAGAACGTGGACATCTCAAAAGTGAAATTAAACGAATGGAAGATGAGATAGCTTCCTTAAGAGAAAAGAAAAACAATCAAGAAGTAAGGTTTAAGTCTTTTGTAAGAGAACACCTGTATTGCAGTTACATCTTATGACTTGTCCTTACTTGCACTTACAGAAATAATAGTGTAAGTCAAGAATAGCTAGTTATAATTAAAACTTACAAGCTGTGGTAAATGATCTGGATGTGCTTTTCCCTGTCTAGGCAAGTAGAATGACAGTGAGCATCAAGTTGTATAGACTGGTCAAGACTTAGATATTGAAAGTAGATATTAAAAGACTACAGTTCTTAATGCCACATATACAACCACATGTCCATGTCACCATCCTGATAATTCTTACAGGTATTTTCTTTACGGTTTAAAAATTAAGTTGTTGGTGGCAAATCTTCTCTCCCCTAAAAAAACCAAACAAACAGCTTGGAGCACGATTTTGAGATCAAAAATGTGCTTTATGTTAAAAAAAAGTAGTAATTTAATGTTAATTAATTACAGGTGTTTCTCTATTTAATTGAACTTTTTCTTTCTAGCAAAATTATGCTTGTTCATTTCTTAATTTGCTCGTTTCATTAAATCTGTTTGTAATCTCCAGTCTCTCAGAATGGGTAGCAGGATGCAGATATCCTTGCTATTCAGCTGAATCCAGATTCTCTGATTTTTGTATCAGGACTTCACAGCCACATGGGGCCATTTGTAAACTGATATGTAGGGTAAGGATCTAAGCTCTGGGCCTCAGTGTGCAAGGGAGAAACTCTATGATGCCTCAGATCAGTTTATTATGTGCAATAAATATCCCACATGTATCTCGCCAGAGGTTGACTTTTCTGTTTAAAATTATTTGCATTTTAGGTTTGTCGTAACCTACTGTCTTGTTTCTTTAAGACCAGGACGTGCATTAACATTCCTCAAGTATAATACACAATTAACAAAAAGGAAAGCTAGCAATTCTGTTGGCAACAAGATGTGTGTAAACTTGTTACTGTAGCTTGTACTGGTTGTTTCAATTTCTATTCAAGGACAATATTAAACATTAAATATTAACCCTTTAATTCATCTCTAATTTCATTAGAATGCTATAAACAAAACCACTAAGAAGTTGGAAGACTTAAAAAAACAAATGAACTGTGATGAGGAAGTTCTGGAGAGCTGGATAAAAGAGTCGAATCGTAAAGATAATGATGCTATCACAATCCAGAAGTATGCACAACAAGACGAAGGGAAACTAGGAGTAAGTAGAAATGACACCAATCTTCAAAACAGAGAACGACGTCAACATTTGAAGACTTTGTTATGTTATCAAGTTAGGCAAGATGAGACAAGATTTCATACAACAGTTTTTAAGCTGTTTTTTGCTTAACACAACAGTGCAATTTCACCTGAGGTTTATTTTGAAGGTTAGAGAGAACAAGTTTTCAAAAGGTGAAAGGCGTAATTGAAGGCATTCATTTGTTTGTTTGTCTGGGTAGAATTTAAGCTTGAATTTTTCTGAGAAGGTGCAAAAATAGATAATAAAGTCTAGAAAACAGTGCCACTGAATTGAGAGAGGATTCTAATAAAAACCATATACTGAATATGGACAAATAGTGTAGATTTTCCCATTAAAACTGAATTTCTTAATATTACTGAGAATAAGGTATGGCTATTTCAGTAAACTGCCTAGAATAGAGAAAGATATTCTAAATAGACACTCCAGTCATAAGTTCAGACTTTGTAAGGTTTAGTTCTCAAGTATAATATTAATTTATAGATAAAGGCTTAAGAGAATATTAACTGAAGATATTTAAATACAGGGAGGACAAAGTTCATCTTTACTTGTTAAATGCTTAACTGGAAGTTTGGGTGTACCCGAAAGCTTTAGCTTACACAGTCTCACTGATATAATTGTCATTAGCAAGTCACACAGCATAGCGAAAATAGTGACAGTCAGGTGAAATAGCTGATGCCAGGGATTCCACATACGCATTATATGGGCTGGAGAGTTACTCTGGCCAGGCTTCAGCCTGGTCCCAAGGGCTGACGGGATTATGGCCTCTTGTATGACCAAAAACCTGGGAGACTAGAGTCTCATTTTTTAGTCTTCTACACCACAATAAAATTGATGCCCTCAAGAATTCCACCCCTAATTGTAGCAGAGCTTTAAGAATTTATAAGACATTATATATTTGTTTTCAAATACATTATATTTTTATATCCTTTCATTTTAGGCATTAACCCTTCAAGTAGAAAAGTTGACCATGCAAGCAAATCAGAAGCGCAGAGCTCTTGATAATGAGTTTACAGAAACTGTAACAGCTCAGGTATATGCTTAAGGTTCTCGAAGATATCGTTACTGATGAAATTTTTAAAAACAGATATCTTGGAGGTGCTTTCTTTTAAACAGATAGAGCTTGACAAGACAGCCGAAGACTTTCGCAGAGTGCATCAGGAGAGGCAAGAAGTCATCAGGCAGTGGGAGAATGCAATACAGCAGATGCAGAAAAGAGATCAACAGATCGATCACTGTGCCTTGGTAAAACTGCTGCAACTGATTCCTACCAGTGGATCAGCCTACTTCTGTATCTGTGCTATTGACAGGAATTTCACCAGTCACACATCCAGTGTCTTTTAGATGTTCAGTGTTCTCTTTGTGTTTACTTCTCTATTTCAGGCGTTTCAAAGTTCAGGTATTATTGAAATGTACTCAGAATTTATTCTGAAAGGAGTATCTCTCAGTGGAAGCAATGGTGCTCTGTGTGATGCTATGCAAAGTTTAATTATCAGTCTTGGGGATGCTGGAAAATGCAAAGCATGGCAATTTCAGCATTCTCTGTGATCTAGGAAGCAACAAGATGGGGTGTTTTTTCTGAGAGTGTAAGGACAGTCAACTGCAAGGAGGGGATTCTGTGCCTGGGATGCAATATAAAAAAGAAAGCAGAACATTTATTATTGAAGGAATTAGCATTGCTGCCTCTGTGAACAAATGCATGCATAATGTTTATCTCAGAATTATGGGTATTTTAAAAATCACAGTAAGGTTAAAAATTGGTCCTTAAGTACATTCTGCAAATGGAGAGAAGTGACAGCACTCTTCTAATCCAAAAAAAGATCCTGTTGGGCATGATGAATTTCTAAAATATATAGTCTTCATTGGTTCTGTCAGTGTCTTATGCACAGAAGGTACAATGGCAAGAGGTGCAAATAAAGTACATTTTATCCTGGCTTTTTGAGGAGAAGGGCAAGCTCTTTGGAAGGTTCTGCAGGGCAATAGAACAGATACACCAGAAAAAGCCTGAAGGATCAGTGTCAAGAAAAAATTTATAAATGTGGATTCCAAAGTAACAATGACTTTTTTGAAGTGAGGGAAAGTAGTATTACATGCACAAGAAGGCTCTACCTAAATCCTTAGCTCTGCTGGTATAGGATGTCAGCTTTGCTGTGTTGCCTGTGTTGTTGCCCAGTTGTTAGGTATAGTCTGAGCAGAAACATGGTTTAACCAGTCTTGAGATACAACGCTAAAAAATATAATAAGAGAAAATAAAGCCAGAAAACATATTGGTAAACCAAAAATGTAACAGTCTAATTTAGCTGAAATATTTTGGATTTTAAGTATTTCAGTTCAGAAGATTCCTGCAAAGAACAAATGACAAACAGATATTTAAAGAAAAAACCACAACCCACCCCTGCAAAAAAAAAGCACAACAAAAACCCCACAACCCAGGTCTAGCAAACCTTCCATTGTCCATACGATAGGTCTACTGACGCTTTTGTAAATGGATCTTTATTTTTTTTTTTTTACATTCAAACTACAGTATAATTTTCCCAGTAGCTAATCTTTTACTTAACTTTTCAAAATATACAACTTTCAGTGAATGGCTATAAATCAGAAGTGATGTAAACATCACTTCTGTTAGCAATTTTTCTCTTGGATTTGCTGTTGCAAGTCTATCTGAAGTTTTGTTCACATAGCAATTTTCCCTATTCAGTCAATCAAAATATATTTTCACTTCATACAAGTTTATAGCATTATTTTTTTTTTTTTAAATTACTGAAACATTTTGGAAGTTGCCAGTCCAAAACAATTGTAGTATTTGGTGTGTGATGTTTTAGTGGAATAAAGTAATTAAAGAATGATGTGATAACCGAGCTGTCTAATGCAAAGAGTGATCTTAAGAGCAATCTATCTTCTGCTTGTACTCTTTATTAATCTAAAGCAAGAAAACCTAAACCATTTTTATCCTGATAGCTAATAGCAGACATAAAACAGGAGATCAGAAAGAAAGAAATTGTGCTGGAAGAGAAGACTTCTTTTTTGGTAAATGAAACACTTAATAATATGGAATGCGAAAAGAGAATTTCTTCTGCTGAACGGGAAGCTACCATCCTCCGAAATGAGTATCAAACCCAGGATACTTACAGGGTTCAGCTGCAGGATGAGGTAAGGATGAAGAAACAGTTTAGAAAAAACAGACTGAAACTATAATTTTTGACTAGATGGAGGAAGTACAGAATAGCATTTGCTTTTCTCACGTTTTAGACTAGACTCATAATAATTCAACAAAATGCCTGTTCTTCTCAGTCTACTCATGATTATTGGGATCTGAATCCTCAGCTTAATTCTTTCACTGGTGGTGGTAGAGAGAATAGCTTGAATTCTCTATTGTTTTGGTACACAATGGATGAATTTTCTTTTAAATGGTGTAGCACTATGAGATGCTTCAGAAGGAGGTGCATCTTGCCTCTTGCACACGCAGACTGCAGTGTTGTATAAAGATGAGAGATGTCTCTTGCAGATTGCAAACAGTTCCCATTCTGTGCTTACAGAAGTGAGGGTTGATGGCCCTTGTAGTCACGTTAAAATTTTGGAAAAAACCCCAAAACCCAACACTTTCACAAGGTTTTCTAATCAACAGACCATAGGGTAGGGCTGCCCTGTCAACAAGCCATGCTTGATGCTGGTGATGCTTATACTCTGTTGCTTGTATTTAATGTGCACTTAAAGCTGGGAAGGAGCCACACTGCTTAATTGCTTGTAGAAGGATTTCTAAGAGGTAATTCAAATGTCACGGTGCTGTTGAGAAGGGATACATTTGTATTACCTGAGTAAGTTTTCTCTTAACAAGAAAACAATAACACAGGGCTATTCAGCAAGCTTGGCAATTTTTAGAAAAAATCTGCATCTGCTGTTGCCTTAATTTTAGATAGTTTTTCTGTAGCAGGTACTTTATAAACTGATAAATCAGTTAAACTGTAGGTAGCTCAGTTAAGGTGTAGGCTATTAGATTACATTGTAATTCATGCAAACTTGAGGGTTCACAGAACTGGTAGGTTTTTATCTCAAGCTGAGAGATTTTGCTTCAAGTTTTTCACAATACTGCATAATGTGACAGTGAGAACAGTCTCCCATTATTAGAACATCTGTAGCATGCAAGTCAGAAACAAGGAAAGAAAGAGACTTACAGTTAACTGACAACTTGCGACCTCCCAGTTTCTCATTCTGGTGCAGAGAGACACCTGCTCTACACCCTTGATCGGGTTTCTTTACCTATGAAAGTGAAGACAATTACAGTTAGGTGATACTGTGAAGAGTAATGAGCTATTGATTGTAAAGTATTCCTATCCTGTTTAATAAGTGTATGCTGTCATGTATTTTTTACCAAATTAAATGTCTTGCGTATTTTTGTCAAAGGCTTCCCTTATCTTAATCAAAATAATTTTATGTACACAAAAAAGTTTGCATTAGAAATATTTATTAGCGATATAAAGGTTTCTGTGTTCACAAAGAACCTCAAAGTCAGCTGTGCTCTATAAAACTACGGTTCCGCTGTTGACAAGAACTGCAGCCCACAGCACCTTCATAATTCATTCTGTATTATTAAGTATTTTTTCCCAGCATTCAGATTATGTAAATTAGACTATTGAATTTACTAGCTGTGCCAATTTACAGCACCTCAGAATTTGTAGCACTCTTTTTCTGGAAAATGTCGTTAAAAAGAAATGGAATAATTTCCAATAAATAGGTCCCTTACGATTTTAAATATTGTAACATGTACCAAAGTAAATAAGAGCTTGATTGCACCATTTTGTAATTTATTAGCTGGATGCTTTGAAATCTACTGTAGACAGAACTGCTTCTGATCTAGAGTCACTGAGAGCACAAGTAACCAATATGAAGAAAGAAATTCAGAAAAAAGAAGCCAGGTAAGAAACAGACCTTTAAAAATATAATTTGTAAGGATTAGTCATATAATCAAATCCTTGAGCTAGCAAAGACTCTTAGATAACATTGACGATTAAAGCCTCCATCCTTCTGGTTACTTCATGTCCTGTACCGGTTCAGGCACTGTGCAATTTAGGAAATACTCCTGATAATCCTTCTTTTTAAAGGGCATGAAAAAATCAGGGCCTTGGTTTTTGTAAGTGAAGTTTAGCCTGCTGCATTACGCAATGGTGCAGGAAGATATGTATGCTGCTCAGTTTTGGTAGTGTTCTACATGCAACATACGTTTAACTTGTTTAATCATGTAATTTTGTTTAGATTAAGCATTCTTAATGAAAAAAATGCAAGTCTTTCCAATAAGCTGAAGCTTGTGACTGAGGAGACACTCAGCTCAGAAGACAAAGCTTTGAGGATGGCAGAAATGCTAAAGGAAGAAGAAAAAGTTGTCAAGGTAAACTTTTTTTTTTTGTGATTTCTGCAAATGAGAATTCATTTGATTCTGCAAGCTCTATCTAGAACAAATATTTATGGATTAAAAAGGAATGTAAGCATTAATATGACATGTAGCTATTTCATGAAATGGTGAAGTAACATCCATGTAGATATGTCAGTATCTGTGTTGGGAAAACTGGAGGAAAATAAGTGGTTCCAGTAATTCAGAAGAGGGTGTCCCCCAGGCTACTGGAACTGTCATTGTAGAGATCAGATATAAAACCAGTGCTGTGACTGCACCAGGGACAGCACAGAGCGTTCACCTCTGACACCAGTGACTTGCAGCTTCTTGGCTTGATTGAAATAACTTACTGAACATGGCAAATTTTGTTCTAAAGATATAACAATGTTTTGCTGCTTCTTTGTAACAATAGCGAAAAATTTCAAAATCCTGTATTTTGCTACCTTATATCTTTAAAGGTTTTGTTCTATAGGCTTCTATCAGTTTTTCATCAATAAGGTTGCTAAATCTTGTCAGGGTGTCTTTTCAGTGACATTAACACTGAAAATTACTTGGTTTTAGTAAAACATCACCAAAACTTAAAAACCTGCAAAGAGCTATGATATCGGCAAGCTGAGATTAAAAGAGATTTTGAAATATTTTAATTAGATTTTCCTGGTCTAGTCTCCTCTTCCTTGTTTTAATTCTACTACCTGATACTCTGGTACATCTAACTTGTTGTGGACTATTAAGTAATTACTGGCTCACTTTACATTTCATTTCCTTGATGAATAAAGATTTTGTTCTGTGAAGTGGCATGTACAAGCTGTAATATGGTAACTGTTTTTTTAATGTGTCTCATATTAATTTTTTTTTCAAAATCAAACTCCACTTCTTATGTTGCAAATTACATCTAGGAATAAAAATATCCTAATTCATCATCATCTGTTGAACTACTAAAGGGCTCTTGAATAAATGCAATGTTGTAATGCAATCATCTGAACTTTCCTGCATTTAGAAAATGTTTCCACTGTTTTGTCATTTTCCCACTAATTCTCTTAAAGTATTTTAGTATTTAGCTTCTGACGGAATTTGATACAAATGTCCTTCTACATTTTGCTGGACAATTGAGTATTGGATACGCTGAAGCTTTCTTTACTGTAAAACAACCACGTTAAATTAATGTGACAGCAGGTGTTCCCACACAAGCGACAACAAAGCTGTATCTGTGCATATCCCTGTATACTTTTCCCCCCTATTTTGTGTTGTCTATAGTATGTGTGTGAAATAACCCCTTGCAGTAGATTGTTATTTTTCTAACTTATTGAGTCCACGTTAACTGCACACTTTAAATACACATACAGAAACTAGAGAGGCGTTGTCTCTGTAGAGTTTTTTAAATTATGGGCCTTCCTTACCGTTTGGGTTTTCAGATAATTTGAAAACACATTGTAACGACATAACATTTCAGTAAAATGAAAACCTTATTTGCTTCCCCTTAAGACTGTTACCAGGGTGGCTAAACCATTAGCAGGGTTTCTTTACTTGCATCGGTGGCGGATAACCTAAGATGACACTGAGCTTGGCAGCTCCACAGCTTCAGGGTAGTATTTTAACTAGGATGAACTGTTCTTGAACAATGTCTGTAATGTATTAGTCAGAAGCATGCTTTCCATCACCATTAGACACACACGGCTATTTGCGGCATCTATTAATTTACTGTGAAGAGATATTTATGGGAACAATGTGGATGAAATGTCACCGTTTTGCGCTTTAGTTCTCTGATACTTCTCCCTCTTCAAAAAGTGGCAAAACACTGTTGCACAGTGAAGCTTATTGAGTATCTTATCTCTATTAACAACCTCACTTAAAGGGAGAGAAATTATTTATATTAAATAAATGGATTTAGATATGCAAGAAAGACTCTGAAATGAAGGTCAAATCATGATCCAGTTTTAGTAGGTAAATCCATCATTATCATTAGCTTTAGAAATACAGCTCAGAATTGGGCACACGCATAAAAACAGTTTACTTCTGAAATTGAATTCCTTTGTTCAGGCATGATCCAAAGCCCACTGACATCAGTGTAAAATGCTACAGGCCATAACAATTTCATATGAAACTTACACCTGCTTTTTACTTCCTGAGTTTTGGATTTGGAATTGCAGTTACAGCAACTACAAAAGTATCTGTTTGGTAGAATGTGACTGTGAACTCTCAGAGGAGTTCTCTTTCACTATTATTAAAGGCACCAAGATGGTTCACAAGCAAATTTCAACATATATACATACAAAATCAAGAGCATTTTTAATCAATGTAGAAAGGTGAATTCTAAGGTGTTCTGCTATATTAATTTAAATATGCATTTTAAAACTCTATACCAGACTAGAGCTAAATGTGTCTTTTGGAGCAGGACTGTGATGCCACATCCGTTGTTTGAGAGATGTACCTTACAGGAAAGTAGCATGGTGAACCGTCTGAGCTTTGGAAAGTCTTTGGTTATTTATGTCAGAAGGTAGAAGGAGAGAAGGAAAGAATGAAGTTGTCTTCCTTGTTGGGTTATAGAAAGAAAATACTCTCGATTTCAGTTCTTTTTCAGTACATTTCAGGTTACCTGAAATGTTCAGCATTGTCTTATTGTAACAGGCCCTACTAAAACCTCATTTCCTGCACTGATTTAGGCCTTAGTGGCAACTTACCTCTGAGAATAAGGAAGTATTTTAAAATGTGTAATCAATTTTTTTCTAGCAAAATCATTCCAATTTATCTAAACATATGTGCATACACAGAGAGATACAAGTTTTAAGAAACCATTGAAAAGCTTTGTATTATGTTTCTCCAAATATTCACATACACTGGAAGCTGTAAGGAGGGGTTTTTTTTGAAAGAATGACAGGAATTTAGTTTTCTGAAAGGCTGAAAAGAGTAGCACTCCCCTAATGGGAAAAAAAAAAGGGTCATGTAGTAGTAAGACAGGATCGAAGATTACTTTCTCTTTAAGTCAAAGATGTTTCCTGCCAACCATTTTGAAGACCTACGAAATTCCACGTTCATATTAATTGATATAGTATGGAAACTTTTGACTCTTCCTATATATGATTAATAAAGGTAAATAATTCTCAGAAATTAGTTTTGATGAGATTAATTACTTAACGATTAATTTGTCACCAGGAAAAAGAAACAGAAGTGAACCACTTAAAAGAACTGCTTTTCAAGAAGACTCAAGAGTTAAAGGTGCAGAAGGATAAGGAGAAGTGTGCTCTAGCAGAAATTGAGGGAAGTCGAGCATTGCTTAAAAATCTTAAGAGTCAACTGCACAGACTTGATGCAGACGCATTAAAACAACAAGAATTAATTTATAACCAGGTAAAACGTTCATGTACTTTCACACTGTGATTGTTTCTTGGCTCTAATGTGAGTAAATTGCTTGAGTTTGGCAATCTTTGTCAACATCTTACCATTTGGGAAATGCCACGCAGTGTAATTCAAAGTCTGCATTTATTTCTGTCTCTAGATGTATGGATAAAATTGAAGTAACTGAAACTGGCTGTAGTATCACCGACATTATGCACTCGTGTATTTCATTATTGTTTGCATCTGCTGCTTTTCCCACTGATTTCTCAAATCAGTTCTTTACTTTGATCCCTCTGAACCAGACACCTCAGGGTAAATTTTTAAAGCAATACAAGAGGTACATGCCAAAATCCTGTTATTTACTAATTGGATTTTGTGCATATTTCCTATGCACCACTTTGAAAATTTTGCTCTTTTATATGAGCATCCACTGGTAACAGCAAGATGGCAACTCCACTGTAAGCCTCCCTACAGCTCAGGGTGCTGAGCACGCTTTGTTACTCTTCTAGAAGATTACTGTTGAACCATCACTGCACATCAGTCATCTAAGAATATTTTTGCTAATGAGGTCTATAAGCCATAAATTATTATAAAAACAATAGCTTAATTGGGTGACTGTCCTAAAGCCAACATTTAGATCCAAGTTTATATCCAGTATTTTAGCTTTATAGGAAGGCTGTTATTGCTTATCTCAGACTATTAATTTTCTTAAAAAATTATTTTAACAGGATTTTTATATTCAGCAAGTACAGAGACGGCTGTCACGGTTAGAAGGGGAAGTTAATGCAGATGAAAAACAAGTTTTGGAAGCAAAAGTTGCTGAACTTCAGAAAAGCTTAGAAGAAAAGAAAAACGCATACGATGTTTTACACGCCCAGCACAAGAAACTTCAGGTAACTTCCTTAGAAGAGCAGGTTGACTGTGTAACCTCAGTGAATTAAGTAGATTGAGTCTTATTAATTAGTAAAATGATATGAGCTTAAAAGATATCTGAACTTTGTACAGCCAGTGTGGAAAACTTCGTATGTTCCCTGTACCTTCCAGAGAAGTAAGTCCTTCTTGCACACGTGAGCCACGTTAGCAAGAAGCCAAGCGCTGGGGGGTTGGAAAGGCAAGCTTCGCTTTCACTTCGGGATGTGACTGACGGATTGCGAATGCCTGAGTTTATCTTTAGGGCTATGTAGAAATGGGACAACATTATTCTGCGATGCTACTCAATACTTTTATATTTTTTCATAAAATGACAAGTACAATTGCATTTAAAATTGCACAAAGTATCATTACTGAATTGAAGGGACAGTATTTGAGTTAGCTGACCTCATCCCGATATGTAATTCAGAAATACTATTTTTCTGGCTCTATTCCCATGTGACGATTTTGCATATACACACTTGTTCTTTGCTTTTCCACTATCCAGTGACCATCATTAATTCTCTAAAAATGCACTGAGCTTTCTTGTAGATACAAACCAGTTAGTTATTCTGCAGTTTATAATTTCATTTTGTAAAAAATGTACTTGTCTATTAATCAGCTACATTTTAGCATATTTAGAAACCTCTTTTCAAAGAGAGACCATACCAAGACAAACATCAGGTTTTTAATAAAACATCACAACTGTTTTTTCAAAGTGATAGTTAGGAAAAAAATCGATCAATTTAGTGAGGGGAAGAAATTGCTTATAGGAAAGCCCTTTAACTGGAGATCCACGCAAAAGTAAGATTTAATGTTGGGCAACTGCTGCCTGCGCTTCAGTTTTGAGGAGATGCAAAATTTAAGCAGTGAGTATGATCAAACATTGGAACACACCTCCGGGAATTTATTCTTATTTTGGAGTATTATGAAAACCATCTGGTTTTATGAAGACGAACTAAGAATATCAAAGACATGGTCAGTGGCACCAGGAGACTTTTTTTTATCTATACCAAAATACATGATTATGTTAGAATTGCCGTATTGGCTGAAAGCTCTATATTGTATAAATAACAGTTATCACACTCCAAATAATGAAAAAACAAGCATTCCACATAAAAAAAGCAGTCTTCAAGCACTCTGCCTGAGGACCGCAATGCTCTAGGTACTGCTTGCAGAGCAGCATATGGACACAAGAAAATGACAGTTTGTGATTCCAGGACTTAAAAATATCTCACTCAGAATTAACTGGTAGCTTTTGTTGCAACATACGTTTACTGAAATAAATTAAATATAACTTATTTAACAGAATGACATCCATTTCATCAAGAGAGCAATGGATAAGACAAGAGAAGAAACAAGTGGTATAATGATCAAGATAAACGAACTAAACCTTTTCAATGAGAGATCAGATCAGGAGTTAAAAAAAGCTAAAGCCATTAAGCAGGTACAGTATTATTTTGCAACTTTACTAACATAGGACACGTTTGTTTGTTTGTTTGTTTATAACACATAAACTCATTACTTGATCTGAATGTTACTGTCTGCCTCCCATGGTGCTACATCATTACATCCCTAAAAAACCTCTATGTAGTTTCTTGACTTACACCTTTCTTCCCAAACTTTGAAGTAATTTTCATCACTATTACCTTGCTAGGGAAAGTGGTGTTTCTTCTCCATATACAGCATAAAGTTTATTTGGGTTATCGGTTTAATCACACATTACTTATATTACAATATCCACCTGGTCAGTATTTGGTGGCTTTTTTTTTCTGAGAAATAACTGCCTTTAAAATAGAAAATGTGCTTACTGTTCAGGGATGTCTTTACCTAGCACTGATTTTTTTATGCTTAATCTGTGATGCCAACTAATAAATTTGGCTCAGTTTTGTTATAACATTGTAACATATTTTCCAGCAGATGGTTTGTATTTATCTATATTCCAGTTGAAGGAATTAGAAATAAAATGGAAGTCCTTCTCCCTGTATTCTGATAAACAGAAAAATACTGTTCCCAGTCCTTTAAATACTGCACAGTTTTTTCCTGCAGTAAGTTGCAGCCTTCCTAAAGGAAGCACTAAGGTAGTAGAACAACACAGGGTCTAAGTAGCAGAGAAAAGAGTTTTGCTATTGACTTACTCCTCAATGAAAACTCTTTTTCCCTAACCTGGAACTTTCCTTTGGGGATGAAATTCAGGGGAACAAAAGAAAGAAGCTGGTGGCATAAAAGAACTTGGAAAACAAATGGTACAGAGTTTGAGATCCACAAGAGATTATTTTTAAATGATTCAAAGTATTTGCATGTTAATGAAGTTCACCACTTGCTGCTTTTCCTAAGCCTCGATGTATATATAATTTCCTGATATAACAACATGACTTGGAGACCTACAGAATCTAAAACATATTTAAGACGGTTATCGTAATTCAAGTGAGATATTAACTGCTTCAGAAAGTTCCTTGTAAGGTCAGCTGGATTTCTTTGAAACCACCTAAACTGAAAGAAAGTTATTGATGGAAAAGTCTTAACCCAGAATTGAACCTGAATTAGAAAGTCTGATGAATCTGTATAAAACCGTGAGGAAACAATCTATCCCTATCTCACTGCCCATGTAAACTGTTAGCAAATGAGAAAGTGAGAACATTTTAAAAAGCAGAGCAAAATAAGTCTTACAGTTGTATATATATTAAAGATAAAATAATGGATGCTCTATAAAAATTATTAACTGTTACAAATAATCTTAATTATAAACAATGCTTTCTTATTTTGAGACCTTTTTGGCATTTATTAGGAATTGATGGTTGAAGATAACCTCTTAAAACTAGAATTGAACCGTCTTCAAGATACTCTGTGTAATAAGACAGAAAAAGTTCTAACACTGGAAAAACAGAAAATGGCATTAAAGAAAGCCATAGCAGAAAGGACTGAGGAAATTAAGATTCACAAGGCCATGCTGGATTCCCAGATGAGACTTGTGGAACAGGAACGGCAACGCGCAAGGTAATTACTCTTATGTAAATTAAACACGTAATTTTTGCTGAGTATATTTTATGTGGAGACACTGAAAAAGTTAAGCATTGTACCAAACTTCACCAAGTAGGGAAACTGAGGATGAAGTAAATCTTCCTCAAATTTATATACTGAGACAGCTGAGGCTAGCAAGAGATCCCTTCTCTGAAATCCAGCCTACAGCTCTAACAACTTGAAGTGGTTACTGTTTGTTCTGTTAGTAAAGATCCTCCAGGGAAAACCCCAGTTGCAAACAACTTTTTAAAGTGTTATGTGCATTTTTTAAATAATCAGGAAATGTGAAATCAGTTTGTCTGGAGGTATGACAAAAATATTTAAAACATAAAAGTTGCTTTTAAAGAGGGTTTACTCCCAATTGCTTGATAAAACTGTGATTTCTTTGACACAGTAAGTTTAGTTTGGTTTTTTTGGTCTTTTTAACAAAAGAGCTCTCCATTAGGTGTCCTGTATAAGAAAATTAAATCTGAATTATATACACCCTCTTATAAAGCAACCACATGTGAAATGACTTTTCCTTTCTGTAAGAATCAGTGCAAAGTATCTGGGGCAGTTTTAGGTCTGAAACCCTGGTATCTATATCCAGCCAAAAATCAATGCTTCAGCAGCTGAACTGCTGAAATCTGGCAGGCTTTTTATTCACTCCTCTGCTAACCCCACCCCACACAATAGGAAATTAGAGTGATTTAGTGTGACTAAAGCTTAACTGCTCACCGAGAGTGCAGACTGTGTGGCTTTTTTCCTTTGATAATTACACAGCTAATTGATGCTTCCATGTAATTTGATTTGGGGTTGTTGCCTACTGTTGCTTACGCTCATCTAGTAGTGGCAATATTAAGATGGTATCAGCAGGGGGCAGCTTGTGCAGCTGTAGGATTTAAATGCCAAACCTTTAAAAAATTTCTGGGAAGGACTGTGGCACGGTCTCCCAGGGTGCGATGATCTGGAATATGAAAATAAACTTGATGCAGTTTAGAACTGCAAGAAAACTGTAGGTGACAAGAAAAACAGATGACTGTGGCTGGGAAACCAGAAAAAGCTACAAAGAACAGGAGCAGAACAACTGCTGCCCTGCCTGCCTCCTCGTACGCGGGCAGACTGATGGAACAACACCGGTACTTTAAACTGCTGTAGCAAGAACTGCCCATAAAACACTGCCAGACAAATGCCTCTTCAACACATTTATTTTTTCCCCCCAAATAAATCAGTGCCGAATTCCAAGATCGTCTAAACAAAATTGATAAACTGAGATGCAGATACGAAATTCTTACGTTTGCCACAATGCCACCTGAAGGAGAAGAGGAAAAAACTCAGACCTACTATGTAATTAAGGTATCTTATTAACTCCTTGTAATTTATTAATTCATTATAATTCAAGCTATCAGTTTCTCTGGGCTCTGTTCAAGTAACTAAGACAACCTCCTTGCCTACTGCTTACTTTCAGTCTAACTCTTTTATAGTATCTGACGGTTATTTAAATGTTACAGCAATTTCACATGAATCTCTGTGGTCAGCCCTAATGTCAGAAGAGTCTTAATTTTGAGCAGTCTGAAAATTTTCCCTTCAATGCTCATTAATTTACAAAGACCCAAGAAGCACTGGTCATGTGGCAAACCACTACAAACTGGAAACAAGTTTATCACAGTCTCACATGACCTTAAATTCTCCTACCCGTCAGAATTACTTTTAGGTATTCAGTTTACATTCTTCAAGGTTTAAACATATGGTAAACTGTCCACTTCTACTTATCAATCACCTACGCATCCTTCAGCTTTTCATTGGGAAAATAAAAATCCATCCTTATCTATAATCCCATACCCTGATCCTCAAACAAAAATCTGTTATTTTTGATCTACACAAATTCTCTGACTTCCTCTTAAAGCAAAATGCATCTAGTGGCGATCTTAGCTCTGAAGTTGGCATTTTTTCTCATTCTGAAGTGTTAAATTTCTTAATGATGGCGTTTCTGCTACTGTGCCATCTAGCACAGCAAAAGATCCTCACTAAAACCTCTGTGGTCGCTGTGGGCGTGTACCCTCTGCAACTCTGGGGATTTCGCACTCTGTCAGATTTTCTGAGGGACTGCAGAAAACCCTACCCACCCCCAGCTGGCTGCGTTTCTTAAATCTGACTGATCATATGAATGAAGCCTTGCAAGTGAGCAAGTCCCAGAGAGACTGGATGACTTGTAACACTCTCTCAGTGGTTTTCTATTACATATGATCTCAGTCTTACTTGGGATTTGTGGGTAAAGAAACCAGAAGTGAGGTGGGTGCTGCACTTCGCACCTGCAGGGCGAAGCATGGAAGTGCCTTTGTGCACTGCGTGGGTCCTGCTCATCGGGGCCCTGGGAGCTCAGAGAGGCAGATACCTACAGTGAAATACCTCAAAGAACTTTGAATATTGTAAATAACTATTTCTGCCACTTCCTTAGTAACTGTCTCAGTTCAAGCCCGACAACACCGATAAGCCCCATATCTACCTATGATTTTAACCCCTAAATATTGCAGGTATTTTTTTCTGTATAATTGTCCTAATATTTTCAGTAGGCATGCAGTCACCTAAAATATCATGTTTATTTTGAGGCTGCACAAGAAAAGGAAGCACTTCGACGTGAAGGCGATGATTTAGATGCAAAGATCTGCAAAGCTGAAAAAGAAATGGTAGCCCTGGAAAACACTTTGCGTGTACTTAATAACTGCAACAGCAATTACCGAAACTCTTTCAAGGAAGTCACCGAGACAAGTATGTAAACCAGAAATTGCTACTTGCTGTGTGAATTACGGATGATGGTATAATTTGGGTATGCAGTGGGGAGATTCCATGGCACAAAAGAATGCATCACAGAGTGAGACTAAACTGGTAGTAGCAAAAGGGAGTGCAATTCACGTGCTTCTATGAATAATAGTTCAGCAGAATAAGCACAGAAGAAAGTGCAGTAAGGCATAATTAATTTTTACATTCTACCCAATTTACATGAAAATCTCTAAGGCTACATAATTTTTGTGAATATTTCTAAGTAGGAAAAGTCAGAAGAGGCAAAGCATAAAGACAATTACTGAGAGGAAGAGTCATTACAGTGTGAGAGAAGTGCCCACTGAACTACATAGGTCTAGAGATAAAACTTTGCACAGTACAAAAATCACAGGTTTATATGCTGCATCACACAGTTATTAATTCAAATTACAAACGCAGGATGAGCTGTGCCACGGCTGACCTCGTGGCAGACTGAGCCAGCTTGGGCACAAAACCATATCGAGAGCAACCATACACCAGCTTAGGAACAGGTGCTCTAGTGACAGACTGATCCCTTAGCTACGCTTGCAAGTGGGAGGAAAAAAGTAGTAACTGGTCGTCTGGGAAAATGATGAGGAAGAGTAAAGCTTAAAACACTATTTTAGAGTAGTGTCAACAGATTTAAAAAGATGGACTACCTAACTACAAGTTTCTGAATAATGCAAACTCCTCAGAATTCTTGAAAATATCTTCATGTGTTGTTTCAGTTGCCACTTTCATAAGCTTGCTTTCAGTGGAACTTTCTTTGTTTAGCATATACAAAACATCATCAGGAGAAATTACATAGATTTAATTCTAGAAAATATTTGATTATTTAACTTTTGTGCCCTCTGCTGGCCCCAGAAAACGTAGCTCTTAAATCGTCATTCCTGCGAAGCCAGCACGGTTTTCACAGTGGACTTAGAAGTAGCGTAAAAAACCCCTTAAACCTCGAGGTCCCTGTAATACTGCCAATATTAATATAGTAATATTCCCTGATGCAGTTACTTTAAAGTGCAATTTATTTTAAATTGAAAATTGAGTTGTATACACTGCTTGTCCAGCAATAATGCTGCCTCACTGTTTGGGATCACAGGTGAGGAATATGAGGAAAAACTGAAACTAGAGGAGGAGAAAAGGGCTGCTGATGAGAACTACAGATGCAAACAAAGACAGATCAAGGAACTTGAAAAAAATCTCCAGGTAAAATACATGCACAAGTTCCAGTCAGACAGACAAGGTTTCAGCATGTACCTAAATCTATTCAAATCATCCTGCAAGGAAATTCTGGGACCATTTTTGGCCTGTTCTTTTCATTATCATTAATACAAAGCCTATGATTTGTATGAATGGATATGATCTTTTAGAAATTGAGTGCTTATTTGAATCTTCTTGAATAACAAAGAAAACTCAGGCTTTTTATTCACACACAGGTAGAAGTTTCAAAAATCCACGATGCACACCGACAAGTGTCCTGTTCTGGCATCCAAGCAGTTGTATTTTTGCGTAGTGCACACCACTGCACTCTGTCACCCTTTCCAGCATGGCAGAGATTAAATCTACACATCTTGTGACCTCTGCCATGTCCATCCCAGGATTTTTCTAGAACATACACTGTTGTATTAGCATTCAGGGTGCTTTAGTCTAAACAGTATTAATTCAGGCCCAGGTGGCTGTCTGGCTCTTAGCAGGTTCAATCACAGCTTCTCTTCAGGCTCCACCTCAAGGACTTAATGATGCTTCCCTTTGCTATCAAGCCCACTTGGCCCTTAAGAAAGGACAACACTTACCTCTGATGTGTGACATTTTAGCCAAAACTTTCCCGTGCAGAAGAAATCAAAGGAACTCTGTTACATTCCATGTGATTATTCTAAGCCCAGAATCACTGACTACAGGTCAACAAACATTCCTGTTGCTTATTCTACCTCCTAGGACATAAACCTTACTTAAGAAATAACACCTCTGAAATTAAAGAGGAGTATCTTCATCAGGGAGTAAGTCCTAGGATATAAGGAGATGTTAAGGCATACCCTTTACTTCCTTTTACTTTAAAAAGCCCCAAACCAACGCGAGTCACCCTTAGGGAGCTGATTATTATTCATTCCAGTCAAAAGGATCCATCTCTTCCCATGGGAAACGATGGTATTTTTGTTAGGATAGCCTGCACTGGTAAACTGGTACTGTGACAAGTCATTTGTAGATACTGCTCAGAGGCACATCTGAAAATACTTATTTGTAACTTCACTAATAGTCCTTTAAAGTAATTTTTAAGGTATTTACATTACTTGATGGTCTCTATCCAGTTATTTATCTACTAAACAGTCTGACAGGCAGACAGTTGTCTTATCATTAGTACTAACTCCTAGAGCTACATTTAAAAACAAGTAGTAGAGATAACAGACCCTTCTACAAATATAAAAGGTCAAAGGATATCAGAGGAGTTTTATAAACTCTAACTACCATTCAAATCAATTTGCAGAGTATGGAAAAAGACTTTGATATAGTACTGAAGCAGGAGGCCCTCTTCCAAGAGCAAAAGAAGGAAAAACAAGCTGTTATTTTGCAGCTGAACAAAGACATAGAAAAACAGAAGCCAAAACTAGAACGGATTATAAAACAGGTTTGTATATTCGGTAATGACAGTGTCTAACTTCATAGTGATAGACAGCAGCATGGTTAAAACCACCGAATTTAAACTTAATAGGTTTCTGAAAATGTTGCATCTTCATAAAAGCAATGCTTAAAAAGATATTTGTGTTAAAAGTGTTCCAGACTATCCAGAGAAATTCAATCTCTGAAGAAAACTGGAACAAAAACACAGGAAGAAAGAGACATTGATCTTCGTGAACTGAAAAACTTCAGCGGAACCATCGACAAATTGTTAGCTGATGTTCTAAAAGCAAATCCTGATTTAACTACACCCTTCCAAACGTACTTTCACCAGGTGAGCTTTTCACAGTTAACTGCCACCAAAATCTTGTTGGGCAGCTCTGGTCTGCTGGTGAGCGTCTTTCAAGGGCAACTCCTAAATTAAACAATAAGCAATACTTTAAACAGGAAGAAGGGTTAATCTGCTTTCAACAGGTCTTCAAATACAAAGGATCATAAACCCTCCCGCTGTACCCAGTCCCACTGCAGAGCCATTAGGTTAACATTTTTTCTTTTGTTGTTTTTCTAGTCCAATTTAGAGCTTCCTACAATTGCTTCTGCTGGTAGTAGTCAAAGTTCTCAATCACCATCTGCACAAAGCTCGCTAGCTTCTACCAGGTAAGTGTTAGCAATGATTTTTTGCCTTTATTTTTTGTTAAATCCCTAAATGAGAGAATTCTTCACTCCTGAAGATCTTCTCAACCTTGTCTCTACTTTATGAACACTAAAAAACCCTTTCTCCTTATACTGTCTCACCTTTAGGTTTACTAGATTTTTCTAGCACACGATTTACCTGAGCATCCATTACAGTTTTAAATAAAACAGCAAATACAGAATAATTACCTTGAATTTTGCTAACTGTGCTCCAATTAAAAGGTGGTTTCACATTATAAAAGCTCAAGTTTGAGCTCCAGCCACATTTTGCATTGGTAGTGTGAGCTCCCTTTCCCAATTCAATAGGGCAGACAGACATGTGCTGTTACCGATACTTTTTTCCCGTGTTCAGCATCTATCAACTACTCATGCACAGAACATGCTGAATCAGTTACAATCTAACATTTCCACAGGTTACTCAAGCAATCAGTGGCAGTGTCTACAGGGGTCTTTGTAAGGGATCTTACCTCCAATAACCACTGCTCCTGCGTGCCTTTATTGTGAGGCACCGTCAGAAGCCCTGTTTTAGACAGGGGGATTTCTGTTGCACTGACAAGTATATTTTTTTCTTTCAGATCCTCCAGAAGCACAAGTTCAGGCTCTAGTGAGTCTGTATCACTCAAGGTCATAGATCTGCACTTGCCTATCACCGCTCCTGCAGAAGCAGCTGGTTCACAGCCATCCCGCAGAGACAGCACCTCTGCTACTTGTAAATACAAACACAAGTCTTAAGTTTTTTGAAGGCCATAGTAAGCACTTTTTTTGGCCATATTAACGCTAGTTAAGGCTTCTTAAATCAGTTAAGTCACAGATTGATCAATTACCAAGGTATACTGGCAATCTTAGCATGGATTTCTATCAGAAATGTATGTTTTAACTTTCTTCTACAGGATGCAATAAATTATCTAGGAAAAATGTTAAGCACATGTTTTATATAATAAAATAACATTTAAATTACTTTCATTTTGCTGTTGGAGAACTAAAGATCAAAAAAACCCCTTCAGAAGCCATTAATTCACTTTTTCTTATAATGAAGAGTTATGTTAAAGCCATTAATTTTCATACACTGGTATCTTCACTGCTGTCAAAACAGTTTTAGATTACCTTGCAACAATCCAGGAAAGAAAATGTATCCTTCATTTCAAGATCAGCCTTGGCTAATAGTCATTTCAAATCATATCTTAATTGAAATGTGACAGCTTATGATTAAAGTCAGTAAAACTGTACTTTTTCTTTTCAAAATTACAGAGTACCTTTCTTTTTTTTTTCCATTGACCTGTATCTACAGCATGACCTGGAAAATTTCCAGCTGAAGTACAGGTGATGTTGTGTAGTCTGCCAGACCTTACCCCCTCAGCAAGTTCTGCCAACCAGCTTTGGAGAGCTCATTGTAAAGAGAGCATTAACTTTCTTCACAGCAATGCAACCTTCAAGCTACTTGTAAAACAGATACCTAACAAAAAGGCCCACACTTGAACTTACCCCGACAACAAATACCATTTTAAAACTCTTCTTCTACTTTAGTTTGAGGGTTTTTTTACATTACTTAACCATATTTGATGCATTTAAAAGAATGTAGTACACTTGCCTTCACAGACAGTGGAGGGTTGCACTCACTTAAGCAGCACATAGAATCAGTGCACCAGTGTGAAACATGCCAGCAACATGAACAGAAACTGAGACACAAAATTAAGAAAAACTAAGAAAATTTAATAATCAAATGAGCTATCCACATTGATGGCACATAACTTTAAGTTCCCTATAGCTGGAAGGTAAGTTCAATACAAAAATATCAACAGCCAATAGTACCCTGGAGAAAAACCAAACAAAACCCCTCTGTTGTTAAAGTGCTAACTACAGTCCAGGGCTATCAAAGGATTTCAACCCATCAGACGGAATATTGTACAGGTACATCCCAACTAAGGAGCACAGGAAACTCAGATTTTAAATAACTGATATTTAATGTAAGATACCCTTGCGTCTTTTTCCACCATTCAATCCTTAGAATTCTTTTGACTTTCTGCAAGACAAATTCTGCCTATCATTCTTTGTATGCATTTCCTCAAGAGATACTCAAAAGTTCCATTTAAACTACAGTCATGAGAATAGCCTTAAATACTTGACTGTTTCTTTTGTTTACTTCCTTTTTCTCTCTCAAACTCAGCTATTTGATTGAATATGTTAACTAAGTTCTCGGGCAGGTTTCTTTTATTGCCACTTTCTGTTTCTGCTGTATCATTTAATGACATTTCCTCGTCTGGTTCCTTTGTTTTATTAGTGTCCTCATAACTTCTTTTCCTACTCTTATACTCGCTTTCATTTTTATGCTGACTTAACACATGCCTATCGCTATCATAACTTCTATCCCCCTCACGTAAGCAGGTGCTAGAATACGGTCTGTATTTTCCCATGGACTTACCAGAATAGTCAGACCTTGCTGGAGACGTGTAATACCTGTCTTGACCTGGGCCATGTTTTTTAAACTGCTCTCTTCGCCCCTCTACATCCCTTTCTACTCTCCTAAAATAATGCATCCTGGGTTTATCGTCTGACTTGTGATATGAACCCGAAGAACCCCTCCAACTAGAGAAAAATCTGTCTGGTTTCCCATACTTTTCAGTTTTGCTACTACTTGGTAGAGTTCTGGAGCTACTGTAAGAATCTCTTGAATCTTCAGACCTACCTCCAAAAGAGTCTTCATCATCACCTGAAGTCCTCGAAAAAGAACAGTGTCTGTCTTTCTCTTTTACCTCTGTTTTTGGACACACTAAGCTGTCCTGCCTTTCCAGCAGTTTTTCCACTTCAAAAGTTTGGTTAAGAAAAGAAGCAGAGGTATCAGCCGGAGGCGAATACCACTCCTCTTTCCTAGTCTGATCTTTATAATGGGAAGAGGCTCTAGATGAGCTTTTTTTGGAGCTGCGGGCAGACTCAGACCTATTCCGACGCTTTTTCCTACGTTTCTTGTGATCAGAGGAAGAGGAAGAAGAAATTGATACATCTGATGAAGAATCACTCGACGATGATGATGATGATGATGAGGAGGAGGAGGAGGAGGAGGAAGAGGAGGAAGGCGATACTTTCCTTTTCTTCTTCAACCTAAAATATATAATTAACCCGTGAGAGAAAATCTTCAATATTAGGCAAATACTGTATGTAGAAAGCAAATCTGAGATTGGACTATAAGGCATGAATGGAAACTGAGCCTGACCTGGGAAGACAATTTCAAAAGTAATTTCTTTACCGAAAAATTCAGACTAAATCCACTGAACAAACTGTCATAAAAGGCATCCTTCCCAGCGTAATAGGCATTACACTTTGCAAGTACTTCACATTGCAAAGTATTTTTTAAAAACTTCTCTTCCACTTCTCTGTTAATGGTCATATGCACAAAAAAAATCTAGAAGAAAAGCAGCTTATGTACATAGAAGTTCTACCTAGCTTAGCATCAGTCTGTTTGGAAATGGCTAGTGCCCAGTCTTATCTGCACTTACTGCCACAGAATTATTATACTGAATATAAAAGTGTTACCTTTTTTCTTCTTTTAAAAGCTTACGCAATTTTTCTGCACTTGTTTCTACTTTCTTTTCTTTCTGTCTCTCTTCTTTGGCAGCTTGTTTCTCCCTCATTTCCAAAGATTTCTTTTTTGAAGCCAAGCATCGTAAAAAAAAATTACATTAAAAGTATTAATACCAGTATTTTTCCCCAGGTCCCCAGATCCATTCAAATGTATCATTACATCAGCGATGTTTTACCAGGATTCCCAGATGAAAAGTTAATATTGTTCAGGAGTTTGGCATTGGCCATTGTGATAATCAGGTTTACATTAAGGACCATATTGCAGTTTTTATCCCATTAAAAAAATATATTTGGCCAGCCATTGCAGTGGTACCCGTGATCCAGCACACCATGAAGCATGGAGCCCAGAAGGTACAAATAGAATACGCAAGAAAAACACAGTAGTACCAACGTATAGAAAAGAAGAAAAAGGTAAAAGAAAAAAATAAAAGAGAAAGGTTTGAGGTAGTTTTTGTTTATAAGTAAAACATGGCAGAACCCATTTCAAAGCACATTCAGGGTGGCCATGTTTGAATACAAACCGTTTTGTAACAATTTCACAGACCAGTTTGACGCATAGTTTACGTAAGAAATCATGTTCCAAGGATTTGTGGGTGATGAGCAGCACCAGATGTCAGATACAGCAACGGTCCAATTCAGGAGAAAATGCATTGGAGAAAAACACATAATCAGTATTACAGGAAAACACCCGTCAGTGCTGTTTCAGCCATTCTAGTGCAACAGTGATAGTATCAGCCTTATGTGAGCATCTCACCAGATGAATAATCCTTAAACTACTTAAATCTACTCTGCCATCTACAGTCCTAAAGAGCAGCTCTGTTCATACTCTAGATTGTTTTCCAAACTTGGCAACCGCCTTAAGAGATATAACAAAGGAATCCCTTAATTGCAGTTAAGGCTATGCAAAGCAACAAAGAACAGCTAGCATTGTTGGTTTTATGTGCTGCATCAATTACAAAAAAACGGAAAATGCTGAAGGAGAGTAAAATTTATCTCCTGCTTGCTGACAACAGTCTTCACTTTAACTGAGACTAACACCTCCTTCTAAAGCAACCAAACATGCATAGTGCTCAAACACCACACAACAGTTTCTCTCTGATATAGTTGAGTTTTACTAAAAAGATTGTCAGATCTCCTCTTCCCCTTTCTTTCAACACAACCTGTCAAGCATTATGGCTCCACCAACTGAAGAAGTGTCGATTAAGGCCATCTACCCCAGTGCATGTACTTCCTTACATGTGGGAGCATAGAACAAAACAAATCTGTTCCTCAGTGCTCTATTTTACTCTTTGATCCTCTCTGGAAGATAACACAAGTGAAGGAGGTAAATATAAGGAAAAAAGACGACAACTCAGATTAGCAGAGAGACCCACCAGGGCTCACCTGGGAAACATGCTGCATGCAAGAGAAGAAAGAAAACACAAGACGGCAGAGAAGAGAGCTAAGATATTCAAACTGCCTCCCCACCCTCCTGCTGTTCTCCTTTAGATTACATCTTAACTTTCCCTCTCATGAGTTAGCTTTAGCTGGGGTCACTCTTATCTTTTCGTAAACTCCGAACACCCAGGATCTGGCTGGTATGACAGTGTGCAATGTTTAATTGGCTTGCCTAAGTGTTTCACACTTTGCATGTTTGTATTCACAGAATGGTTTAATTTAACATTATTAACCACGCTTGTGTGATGGGATATTCTTATCCCTGCTTAGGTGACAAAGCTCACAGGCTCTGCTCACTGTTTGGCATTTCGCTACTACCCTGTTCAAAGCAGTGAGGTCATCAAGAGAACTTTTCTTCTGGTAGGTACAGCCATAATGCTCACTATAAAAGATTTACTGTGGAGAAGGGAAGCAGAGAATAAGACAAGCCATTGACTTAAAATCTCCCTGTTCCAAAGATTTAATATGATTTGTGATGTTCATTTATTGTCCTCCAGAGCACTATATGAATAGAAAGTAAAGAATCACCTGCATATGCTTACGGAGTTTTGTTAAAGCCTCTTCTGCTTCCTGAAAAGTCTCATCCAAACTTAAGGCTTTTTTATAGTAATTCTCAGCATTTTGTAGTTTGTCCTCCTCTTCCAACCTAAAATTCAAGTGATAATTCACATATAGTTAAGGCACAGGTTCTTCTTATTTTGGGACTACCTTTCTTACTTGCACTATGATGCTACCACTACATCCCTCCAAGAACCTATCAATCATCTTAGCCCACCTCACTACAGAAATAAAATAGTATTTCTGACATGTTATTATCTCCAAATCATCATCGGTAATGCTATTCTTTGAAATGTCAAGTCCAGTTTCAAAACTCTTCCTTCTTAACACAGAACTCAAAAGAAATCTATTCCCTGAACAGTCACAAGTAAAAAGGTTGTGTTACAGTGCCTAACCAATATTTAAGCAGAGTAACAACATCATTTTGTTACAAATACTTCCTTTAAAAATATTTATTGCAATGCATTCAAATATTTCAGAAGACTTTATGTATGCCTGATATCCTACCAGTGAAAGGATGTAATTAACTAAATGTCAAATATTTTGCCAGCATTTTAATTGGGGCAGAGCATAAAGAAGAAACCAACTGCACAAGCAGGTGTATTTCCAACTGAGACTTGGTTTGTTTTTTTAAGTACATAGCCAGGATGGAAAGATGCCGTTCTGCATACTATGTAGAATGGTATTAAAAAATATTCCGAGAAAAATTGTTAACAACCAAACAAAAACACAACCCCAAAACTTACTGCCCGCCTCTTTCCACGAGTGTCTGACAGAGGTATTTTCTTGCATTTCTGTGGGTAGGACAGTTTTCTAAAGCAATTTCAAAATCACCTATGGCTTTGTTCAGACTTCCTTTTGTTGCGTACCTGGAACCAGAGAGAAGTTGCACAGATTGTAGTGATGTCTCTCTCTCACAAAGTAGAAAAACCACCAGAACAAGCAGACTTACAGAGCTCCACGTGCTACTAAAGCTTCAACATTTTGTGGATCAATTTCCAAAGCCTTGTTGTACTCGTTCATGGCTTCCACGTGGCGCCCGACTTTAAAATAATCAACCCCAGCCTTCACGCTGTAGAAAAATATTGAGAAAATATTATGTAGAGTTAGCCTACACCAATTTTGAACTGTTAATTACTTCCAAATTATGGTTCCAAACAAGTGATAGGAAATAAAACTTGGAGATGTGGTGTTGGGTGATAGGGTTTAGGGGTGAACTTGTAGTGTAGGGTCAATGGTTGGACTCAGTGATCCCAAGGGTCTTTTCCAACCTGAATTGTTCTATGATTCTATGATAACATACTTATCCCTGGCTTTTCAATGAATGTGATAGTGACACAATTCCACAGCAGCACATTATCTTTAATCCACAAATCTTAAGGCACTGCAGAGCATTTCCACAGACAATGCAAGTACATTACACTGTTTGTTGTCATTTATGGGAAGAATGTTTAACCACTCTTCTGCCAAAACTTTATGTGTGACCTACGACCATTGAACTGGAACAGGCTTAATTATATCGAAAACTAAAAATCACCATTAGACCAACAAGATGAGGCGAGACAGGTAGATGATACACACTGAAACCAGCTCATCTCAAACTCAGATATTTTGAGGTTTTACATTTCATATTACATGGGCCTTTCTTCTACGGTTGCCAAGAGATTAACTTTTTGGAAGACAACTGGTATAAGTAGAACTTCAGAACTTGTAATTACAGCTTATTTTTTTAAAAAATAGAATTTAGTTTTAACTTGACATTATAAGCAACTTCTTTCTGCAATTAATCGAATTTGCAAAACATTATTGTTTTCAGAAAAATACTGCTTTGTTAGCACAGAAACCAGAAATACTGAGGCTTCATTCAGATTTTTTTTAAAGCTGGTAGAGTCAAGAGAAGTTTTCCCACAAAGAAATTACATTTTTAGGAGAAAAGTCTCTCTTACTTCTGCCCTCTTCATCCTGTAGCTTGCCCAAATGCTCTGCGCATCATGTAAAAGCAACAGCACCTCTCCAGAGCTGCTGTTCCAAATGCAGGCAGGGAAACACATTTAAGTTCTCAAAGACAGCAAGTATATCTGTTAAATCTACAGCCTGAGGCTCAAATGGCATGACGAGAAGTATTAGGTCATTCAACACCCCAACATAAAATGGAAAACTGTGTACTTGGTATTGTCACAAATCTTGTCCTCATCTCATCAACATGCCACTATATTATAAATATTTTAAGAAGCTCTTCCTCAAACCTGACACGTATTTTGGAAACAAATCTCAACATTTTATCTGTCTCGTCTCCACTTGGCAGTTAGGTTACTTCTAAGAAGACCTTTCTGGTTATATCACTACAGGTGCAGTGGAAAAAGTAGTTCAATTTGTATTTTCTTTTAGGAAATACAACCTGTAGCCTAATCGTATCTAACAATAAGCTCTGCCAAGAAAAAGTACTGCATACCATTTCAAGGCCCAAGACGCGGATTGCTTTTTCCTCAATGCAGGGGCAAAATCTTCTTCATCGAAATTTTTCCTTCAAGAAAAAAAACAAAACCATCAAGTTGGCCTTCTGAGTCTACAAAATTAAACTCCCAATATGTAATAAGTTGAAATAGGCTGAAATACTATTTATACAATGCCTTACTCCTCTGCCTCAGTCAGGAATGTTCTCCCATATTTCTGAAAGCAGTTTTTCCCCAATCTTTCTTAAAAGTGCTGAACTCAACTAGCACAGCTGCAATAAATTTAACAAAAACACCATATTTACATCTGCTTTGGGTCCCAATATATATAGGGCTCACAAAAACAATCACTGCATATGCTTAAGCCAATTTTACAACAGTAATTACGTCTATTACTAAAATACACATTGTGAGTCAATGGAAAACATTACAATCTAAATACCCTGCGTTTCAATCCAGAGATGCTGACAAGATCTAAGCAATAAATTTCTAAAGTATTTGGTATCAAACTTTTAGTATAATATGGTGACTTGTTTGTTCAGAGCAACAGAATTTTAAATGTAAATCTCTTGCTCTAGAAGAGTTTGCTTTTAAATATTTCAGGACACATAAGCTGCAGTCATGGAAATCAAAACGAAAAAGGTTTAAGTAGTCTACAACGTCCACTCACGAATCTATTTCAATGGATTAGAATAATCTCCACAAAGCTACAGGATAGGAACAATGTAAAAATCACTTACATTTGAAGACTTCTCAACAAAGACGGTGGATTTGATTCACTTAGTCCTAGTTTCTCCGCTAAATATTCAACTAATGACGGATTAGCGAATCCTGGGGAACGACGCAAAACCTCTTCAAATGTCTCTGCTGTATTAGCAACTTCCATACTTCGCCTTAAAAAAAAGCACCAACGCACACAAGGACACGATGCATATGCTCAGAATAAAAATGCTTATATTGATATTTATTACCGCTCACAAACTGTTTTCTTTTACAGGCTTACGTTTTCCTAATGTTTAGCAATCCTTGTATCCTTTAGCCTAAGCCAGCTTTTGAAGCCTATCTTGGCACCCATACAGGTATCTCCAAGACAAACAAAACCATTACAAAAATCGCAGATAACTATTTCCTTTTATCTTCTGAAGGCAATTAAAAAACTTTAAGAAACAAGTATATTAAAGAAATGAACAACAGAAACTACGTTATTATCCGATAATATTGGATCCAATAATGTCCGATAACATATTATCCAAAAGCATCCAATTAAATCAGAAACACCACCAACAAGTTTAAAGCGCAGTCTGTCGGAGATGCTCTTCAGACACACTGAATACATTTAGCAAGTAGAGCTGAATCGCCTGTTCTCACCTGTAATGTAACGGGAAGTCATCGGAAGTGATGACACCCAGCTTTGTACTGGAAAGACTGGGTGAAAGTGCCGAGCTGTAAAGCGACACCGTGAGCTTCTCGTGGTAACGATCAACATCCTTGACCGCAGCTATAGAAACAATAAAAGTTATGGCAAAATTACAGAAATGTCTCAAAACCAAGACAGAAGGATTTCTGACAACATTCGCAGCTACTTGCCTCGAATCAGGTCTCCAGTTTGATAGTAAGATAAAGGATCTCCATGGTTGCTTTGAGGAGGCACATCTCTCAAAGGACAAAGAGCCTGCAATCGAAGAAGGTAAGAATATAATAAACAAGACAAAAGAAGATTAATTTAATCAGTGCACATCAGAGCTGTACTAGTTAAAAGCATGGCTTAGCTCAATTAAAAATTTATGCATCCATATATTAGGAAGCTTTCAACTCGAAAGCAATATATATGGAGTAGGGGTTATAAAAAGAAGTGTTTGCTGACTCAGTTAAGTATCATAAGCTGTGCACAAATTAAATTCAGATACCAGGCACCACCCCAAAGGTCAGCTTCCCCTCTACACAGACCACTCCGTTAAGAGACGGAAGAGGCAACTAACACGTTAAACGGTTACTAATTCAGAAAAATAAAACACCGATCAAAGCTATATCTTACAGTGATTTCTATATCTGCAATCTCCCGGATGACACCACTTCCCAGACAAATCAACACCATGAAAAAGCCAAATTCACGAATAGACGTGATCTTCCCAATCACGATATCACCACGCTCGATGTCTCGGAAGAAGTATTCTCTCCTTTCTTCCCTGGGCACATCCATGAACCGTTCCAGGGGGGGCATGACCGCGTAACACTCTGCAACACAGGAGACCTTTGCGGTTACAAGCGACCAAGTTACAGCCTGAAAACACAAATCCCGCACCACAGCAAAGCACGTTAAAATAGGATGGGAAGTAACAGGAAGCCTGAGCACAGCCCACAAAAAACAACAGCCGCTTTCACCCCGTTTGTAAAAACACCGCTGACTTTGGAGCAGTGTCCTGGCACGACCCAGCCGCCGCCCAGGCCTCACCTTCATCTTCCTCAATGGTGTCTGCGGGCGGGCCGTTGGGTTTCCAGGAGTGGGCAAAGAGCAGATCGGCTTTCTGGGCGATGAAGCGCTTTATCTCGGTGTCAAGGCTCGCGCTCTCTTTCCTGGGGGAGGGAGAACCCGGT